AGGGGGGAGGGGGGCCGGCGGGCTGGTCTCCTGGTCTCCATAGAGAGCTCCTCCTTCTTCTAAAGGGCTGGGGACTGCCAGAGGTTGGGGGTAGAGGGGCTCCCTCCTGGAAGCTGCGACAAGAGAGCACCTGTGCAGGACCTGGGGGTGTGGGGAGCACAGGACCTAAGGAGGTGGAGGCTTTGGCAGGCTGGCTTTGAGCAGGGTGGGGAGGCCTGAGGGGACAGCGCCCTGGGCAGAACGGGAGCTATGACCTTGACAAGGTCACATGCCCTTGTGGCACGTGTCTCCCGCAGACGCGTGGCTCGTGTCGGAGCTCTTCTCGCAGACGCCGCAGAGACTGTCCTTCTACAGCTGGTATGGCAGCACCAGGCTCTTCCGCTTCCACGTGCCCTCCGACACCGTCCTGCTGCGCTGGTTGTTGCAAGTGTCCCGGGGCAGCGGGCCCGCGTGCTCAGACACAGAGATCACGGTGTACGCGCCTGCCTGCCTCCCCCCCCACCCCCCGCCCACTCCAAGGGGGCCAGCTGTGCCCTGATGCTTGCTTCTCTGGCCAGGTACTTTCGCTACGGCGCCCCACCGGTCACCAACCCTCTGAACACCAGCTTCCCTGACCACACGTCTGCACCAGCCTCCTTCCACTTGAGGCTGCGGCTCAGCGCCTCGCTGCAGAGCAACACCTCCATCAACGTCTCCCACCCCGCTCCCGGGGACTGGTTCTTGGCGGCCCACCTGCCCCCCGCGCCCCAGAAGATCCAGGTGAAGGTGAGGGGCCGCCTCCCCTGGTGTGGGGTGGGTGGGTGAGCCCGCCCTGCTGCGCAGTGCCCCCAACCTGTTGGTCTCCCTTCAGGGCTTCCTCCCCTCCTGTGCCTACGCCTTCCAGCCGGACCTGCTGGTGCTGCGGGCCACCGAGGTCTCCGTGCTGGAGCCAGCCATGCCCCTCCCCCAGACCCTCTTCCTCTCACGCCCCAGCTACCTCAAGTGAGACCCCTTGGAGATGAGCAAGTGAAGTGGGGGCCTGGGCCTGGACAGCCAAGGGGGGTGGACAGCCTTCAGGCGCCCCCTCCCCCACCGCCTGCTCTTTCCCCCCTCCACCACCAGGGTCTTCATCCCTGAATATACAGAGGAGCTGCTGCTGGAGCTTCAGGGCTGCGTGTCCAATGGGAGCCAGGCCTGCCCGGTGCGCCTGCTCGTGGGCTCAGCCACCCTGCCAGGCGACTTCCAGAGGGTGCTTAGCTGTAGCGGCCACCCCCAGTCCTGCCACCTGAGGCTGCGCTCCCCACCCTGGGAACGGTGGCTGCAGGTGACAGCAGAGAGCTTGGCAGGTCCCCGTGTCCTGGTGGCCTTCAGCGTTGTGGCCACCCTCACAGGTGGGCCTCATCACAGTGGGGGGGTGGGCAGATGGGCAGCTCAGTCTGCCTGCATCCTGACCGACCCTGACCTTGGCAGCTTGCAGGCCTTGGACCGTGAGCGCCCAGCACCTCCTACAGGCCACCCTCAACCAGACCCGAAATGCCTCCAACGGCCCCTGGGACCCCATCCGAGGCACTGGGCTGGGGAGCGGCGGAGCCTCCCTGTTGAACTACCCCATGCTGCGAGAGGACGTGGACATGCTGGGCGTGCGCTTCCGACCGCTGGACAGGGCCTCAGTGCTGGTTCAGTCCGAAATGCCCTCTGTGCTGCGGCTGTACCTCAACACAGGCATGGACAGCGGGGGGTCGCTCACTATCACTCTGCTGGCCAACAAGGTACCCTCACTCCCCAGGGCTGGTCTGGGGGGTCCCACAGGCCTTCTTGGGCTGACTTTGACCATAGAAACCAACTGATACAGACCAGGTGTTGGCCCAGGGTCAGAGGCTATGCCTGAGGGAATGGGGCTGCAAGGTGGGGTGAGATGGGAAGGGTGGACTCCAGGTAAGCCCTCGCCCTGACCACCTGTCATTCTCCAGACCACGGTCAAGAACAATACCCTGGTGGTTGCCTGTGTGAACGCTGCCTCCCCTTTCCTCCGCTTCAACGCTTCCCACAATTGCACCACAGGTGTGTGGGCAGGTGGGTGGTGACTGGCCCGCTGCTTCGGCCAGCTCCAACCAGCCCTTCTCCACCCCAGCTTTCTTCCAGGGTCACCCACTGACCTTGAGCGCTGCCTCCCAGCAGGCCGACCTCATCATTCCCTTCCCGGAGACAGACAACTGGTACCTCTCCCTGCAGCTCCTGTGCCTCAACAGCCCTGAGTGAGTGAACCTCAGCACTGGGGCACGGCTGTGTCCAGGAGGCTGCTGGCCAGCTGCCTGCCCTCTGGGCTGACGCCTCGAGCTGGGGCGGACATGGGAGTGTGTGCAGCCCTGGGCTGCTGGTCCAGGAGTGGGTGCGACACTTGCTTTGGGTTCTGGGTGCCATCAGCCTGCAGGATCATAGACAGGGCACTGTGCTCCCCACACCCCCAGGGACTGTGAGCAGACGATGATTCGTGTAGAGACCACCTTGCACCTGGTGCCCTGCTGGAAGGACTGTGGACCCTATGGCCAGTGCCTCCTGCTCCGAAGGCACGGATACCTGTATGCAGGTTGCAGCTGCAAAGCAGGTGGGGATGACCAGAAGCCCGGGGGTGAGTGTCCCGATCTCCCCTGTGGGGGCTGGAGTGGGGCCGGGCTCAGCAGCTCCACTGTGTCCGCAGGCTGGCAAGGCTGGAGCTGCACAGACAATAGCACAGCCCAGACACTGGCCCAGCAGACGGCAGCTGTGCTGTTACTGACTCTGAGCAACCTGGTCTTCCTGGCCCCCATCGCTGTCTCCATCCAGCGGGGCTTTCTAGTGGAGACCTCGGTCTATGCCTACACCATGTTCTTCTCCACGGTAGGGACCCCCAAACCATGGTGGGCAATGCGGCGTGAGCTGGGGCCATAAGCTCACAGTCCCCTCCCTCCCGCCCTCTGCAGTTCTACCATGCCTGCGACCAGCCGGGGGAGACCGTGCTGTGCATCTTGAACTACGACACACTCCAGTACTGTGACTTCCTGGGCTCCGTGGTGTCCATCTGGGTCACTATCCTTTGCATGGCTCGGCTGAAGCCGGTCCTGAAATACGTGAGTGTCCCTCCCAGGGTCTGAGGAACAGGGGCAGGTGAAGGAGAGCACCCCCTGTTCCCTCAGAGCCCACAATCTTTGGCAAGCTGCCCAGGGGCAGGCCTCGCTAGCCCTCCCAGCCCCTCTCGCCTGGGGCTCAGACTCTGCCCAGGATCAGCATTCCCCAGGGACCAGGAGAGTGGTCAGGACCCCAGAGGTTTTTGTGAGTTTTCTGACCTGGCTGATGGGGCCCTCTGCTCCACTGCCCAGAGACTGCTGTTGGGTCTGAGAACCAGGCACTGCCAGGTGGGGGCTGCTCAAGGAGGGCCTTCCGGAAGGCCCTGGCCAGGGCAGGTGGGCAGGCTCTGAAGCATGCTGGGCTGCTGAGTGTTGAGGCCTGCGAACTTGCCGAAAGAGGAGAATGAACTGTGGACAGAGGCAGAGGCCTGGGCTGGCCTGACCAACCCTTTATACATCTCCCAGGTGACCAGATTCACCCCTACAGGAACATGCCGAATGACCATCATGAAGACCGATGGCCCTGGTCCCACATGGGATTACCGACACATGCGTGTGGGGCTTTAGGATTTATCACCCAGGTGTCTTTTCCAGGGACAGAGTTCAACCCATAACACCCTGCCCCTTGGCCCCCCGACATTCATGCCCTTCCCACATACAAAACATATTCACCCTGTCCGCAAATCCACTCTTAACCACCCCAATTGCATCTCCTGACTCATCTAATCAAGTATGGATGAGAACCTGGGCATATTCTATCATAGGGCAAGATCCTTTTCCATTTCTGGACCTGCAGTACCCCAGAGTTCAAGCTAACTGCTTCTCAAGAGCAGGGGAAACAGGCAGGGGTAGCTGTCTCCATCATAAATGGGAGAGGTGGGAGGGAAAAAAGGTTTCAGAAGCATCAAGCAAGTCTGAAACCCAGCAGAAAAAGTTTCATTGTGCCTCCAGGCATGGAGATAGTTCTGTTTTCTAGGACCACCTGGGCAGTGGCCCAGTCCTTCAGACTCTGGGAGTTGGCCATGCTCCGCTCCCCGGATCCTGAGTGTAGGCCTCTTGGCTGAGGGTATCAGCCCTGCCTTTCAGCCCCCCTGGAACAGCCACTGAGCTCCCTTAGCTTGGGGGCCTTCCTCCACCTGAGTGACACAACCTGGTAAGTTTGGGGCAAAGGCCTCATCCTCCTGGCCCACCTGCAAGCAAGTAGGGGTCTGACTGAAGCCTAGCAGGCTGTTTTTCCAACCTTGGAGAGAGAGGTGGTCATTTAATTCTTTGAAATGGAAACCGTTCTATGGATCTCAGAGCTGTCCCTGGGATGTTTCCGGGAGGAACCCAACTCCCCTCCGGCTCATACTGTCTCTGTCTCAGTCACCCTAAAGTGATGGGACTTAGACTTATGTGGTTGAGTCGATCCATCGGTGACAAGCCTAATCTCTTCAACAAAAGATTAGTCACCATGTCCTTCCTGGGAGTTCAAGGATACCGTGACACATGCTTTTTGTTTGTACAAAAGGCATTTTTTTGTTGTGCATTTCATTTTTAGGTTTCATTTTAAATAGTACATTTTAAAGACCATCTCTTTGCTCTCAAGCTTTAATGCAGTCCCACGAAGGGGAAACCATGCAACCTCTCTTACACTCTGGCTTAGAAATCCCCTCAGCCACATATGCAGTCTACCTCGCACTGTATTTGAACGTATTGTCCAAAAGTCCTTTGCTGCTGCTTCATAAGCTCATGTCCAGTCCTATGCTCGTCATTTCCTCCTCTCCAGAAGCGCAGGTCAGCAACATTCTGCTCATGCCCAGAGAAGCTCTCTTCACAGCTCTGCGTTTGAGTGAGCTTGTCAGAACTATCCTGAATACGCATGATTCTGTCAGCAGTTTCTTCAAGGTCATCTGGGCCCTAACTAGAAAGCTCATTAAAACCCCCCAGCTTCGACTCATTAGCTAATTGTGACATTGCATCTCCGTGTCCGGTATCTGTTAGAGCAGCACCCTCCCCCCTGCCGGCCCCCCACCTCCCCTCTTAGACTTCTGTGTAGCATCTATTTCCCCCTCATCTGGACTGCTTTCTCTCCACCCATTCTGCCCTTTTGTATCTCAATTGTGATGGTTTGTCACATACCCTGCACCGATGTCGGATTCTAAATGCAATTGCACCTAACTAGCCAGGTCCTGCAACACAGGTTCTGAGGATCACAATGCCATCTATAACACCCCCGCCCCCACCAACACCCCGGGCGCTGCTGAAGGAAGTTGAGACTCCAGAGACCCAGGAGGTGCAGCCCCGGGGGAGGGGGCACCGCATGTGACTGTGATGTGTTGCTTTGCTGGGGAGATGAACTTGGAGTGGAAGCCACCGCATTCTAGCCCCCCCTAAGGCGCCCTACCTGGCTAGCAAGTACATCTTGGTGCTTCAAACACACCAGGGCCCAGCAGTGTGGGAACTGAGGACAGAAGCAACATTGCCTTCCCGGCCAGCAACACAGGCAGGGAAGCCAAGGATCGGGACCATTCAGGTGACCGGTGTGTCCAGATCTCCTTTTCCTACCAGCTCCTGTGCCCATGCCATCTCTGCTCACAGGTCCTGTTTCTCCTGGGTACACTGGTCATCGCCATGTCCCTACAGCTGGACCGCAGGGGTGCCTGGAACATGATGGGACCCTGCCTCTTTGCCCTTGTGGTCATGGTCTCCATGTGGGTAAGGAGTTGCGGCAGGTGGTCGCCCCTGCTACCTCTTCCCTGCTGCTCAATCCTGTTGATGGGTAGAACCTAGGCCGCTGGCTCCCTGCAGACACCCTGGCTGGAACCAAAGCCCCCACTTCCACTGAGCACTGGCCGCAATCATTACAGGGCCCAGGACACCCTGCGCCTGAATCCTGCACCCAGACCCAGTGGCCTTCGTGTCCTAGGACCCTCTCCCAACCCGCCCTAGTGGTTCTGACCCCTGACCCCTATAGGTCTCTGTGCTCACCCCGTTGTGTGTCCCCAGATGTCCCGCTGTGTACACCGACGCCACTGCTACCCCACCTCCTGGCAGCGCTGGGCCTTCTACCTGCTGCCTGGCATCTCCATGGCCACCATGGCTGTGGCCATCTACACTTTCATGATGACCAACGACAACTACTACTACACACACAGCCTCTGGCATATGCTGGTGGCCGGCAGCGCGGCCTTCCTGTTACCTCCAGCCAGCGAGCACGCCGAGCCTTGGGCCTGCATGCAGCAGCTCCCGTGCCACTACCAGATCTGCAGGAACGACCGCGAGGAGCTGTATGCTGTGACGTGAGGGCCGGTGGGCATCCCGGCACAGTGGGGAGAGAGACCCTACTCTGGCCCAATTCCAAAAGAATAAAAGTGCCCTGAGCAGCCTCCGGGTTCCATCCTCCAGGGAGATGGCCTCCGCTCTGCTGGTGTAGTGGGGCTCTTGGGCACTGCAGGCCAGGCCCCACCTGTCAGCGTCCACTAGGGCTAGAGCCCACAGGGACTGAGATAGGCCTGGGGGGGGGGAGGTGTGAAATGGGAGGGAGCACTCCCACTTCTTTAGCCCAGGGAGCTCAGAGCAGGCCACACTGTGTGCTAGCGCCTTTCTCTGCTGGGGGCACAGGAGTGCTGGGACAGCCCTATGGTGACCATGAGGCTTGGGCCCAGAGATGAGCAGCCCACTCCCCTGAAAGAATTGTGACCCCAGGAGTCACGGCTAGGGGGTGGGGCTGAGTGTTAGGCCCTCCTTAAGGGACAGCCTTAGACCACTAGTTTTGTTGAGCAGCAACCTGCCACTGACTGCGGGCTGTCTCCGTGGGCTGCCTCTGTCCCGCACCTGGTCGGGAATCCTTTCCCCTCAGCCACCCCACATTTGCCCACTAAAGCGACTTCCAGGCTTCTAATGTATATTGTATATGATGTATAGAATTAGTGTATATTGAAGTTTTTTCTGAATCAAGGCATTTTTATGTAGCTCGTATTTTGCTATGACTGGTGAATTTAATATATTCTACAATGATTTCTCAAGCCAAACGGAGTCTGACGTTGTTTGCTTCCTTCCCTGGGGACAGGGAGCGCCTAAGCCCCGCCCCAAAGCCCTGAGACTGGGTTCCCTGGAAACGCGAGGCGGCACTTTACAGACGGCGCCTTCAGCAGTTCTGATGTCTGCAGGGCGTTTTCGACGGTCCCTAAGGGGCAGGGGCGGGGCGACGGCAAATGAACCAGTACTGCAGCCAGGCGGGGGCGGGCAAGTCACCACGTGACTTCCGGTTCCGGTGGCGTGCGAGCCGCTGTACCTGGGAACCAGCTAGCTTCCGTGCGGCCAGGAGGGGTACGCAGGGGGGTCGGGACATTCAGGGCCCGGGGTAAGGACCAGAGTCCGGCACGAGGACTGAGGTCCTGGATCTGGGTGAGGATGATGAGGTCGAAGGTCAGGGTGGGGTTTGGATGCAGTCCGGAGCAAGGTTGGGGTCAGAGGTTAGGGTGGTGTAAGGGTGAGAATGATGGGATTTGGTATCAGAATGGGAGTCAGGACGGGTCGATGGTCAGCGTGCGGTCCAAGTGACAGCTGCTCTCCTCCCCCAGCCGGCTGCCATGCCCCTGCACAAGTTCCCTGTGTATCTCTGGAACCAGCTTCGGCTGAAGGAGGGCATCTTGGCTCGCTTGCCCCCGCACTACCTCCGATCCTTGGAGGAAGACCCTGTGCCCACTCCCGTCCACTACAGGCCCCATGGGGCCAAGTACAAGATCAACCCCAAGAACGGGCAGCGTGAGCGCGTGGAGGATGTCCCCATCCCCCTGTACCACCCCCCTGAGTCCCAGCAGGGGCTGTGGGGCGGTGAGGGCTGGATCCTGGGCCACAGATACGTTGGGAAGAACAAGGTGGGTGTACAGGCAGACGCAGAGGAGCTGCTGCCCCCTGCACTTGGAGCGAGGGGGACATAGAGGGCCCCCGTGGGGACGCCCGCTCTGTCAGGAGCATGGAAGCCCATGAAGTCACAGGTCTGGCAGGTCAGTGGCCTGGAATGCAGGGGAACTGAGGCAAGTCAGGGTAGGGATGGGGCATGTGCAAAGCCTGGGGGGTGGGGAGGGAGCCAGCAGCCAAAAGAAGAGGCTCTCTGCCATCGGAACCCGCCACAGCCCCTCTAAGCAGGAGCTTGGGCTGCTGCCTCCTCCCCACCCTGAGCTGAGCAATTGCTCTGGGGTCAAGCAGCCTTCAAAGAACAGACTAGATTGCATGTCCTGTCCTGGGGGTGGGGGGTGCGGGGGTGGGGATGGGATAGGGCTCCATGTGCTTTGGCCTCTTGGTCTCTGGTTTAGAACATAGCCGAGGCCCCAGGGGCTGTGTGTACATCCGGAGCATACACCGGCCACTCCAGGCGAGGGCAGACTGGGGGCAGGAAGGGTCACAGTGGAGAGGGCAGGGAGGGGGCGCGCGGACTCAGGGGCCCCTTGTGCCTTCAGCGTGCAAAGAAGGTGAAGAAGATATGGAAGCCCCAGCTGTTCCAGCGAGAACTGTACAGTGAGATCCTGGACAGGAAGTTCTCTGTGACAGTCACCATGCGCACACTGGACCTCATCGACGAGGCCTACGGATTCGACTTCTACATCCTCAAGGCACGCTGGGGGCGGGGGTGGGGGGGGGTGGCACGCTGGGCTGGGGGGACCGGGTCTGCTGTGGGCACCGTGCTTTGGGAGCTGAGCTGGGGGGTCAGGTGTCTCTGCAGTGGCGCCCGGCCCCATGCCCATCCTTCCCCAGACCCCGAAGGTAGATCTGTGCTCCAAGTTCGGGATGGACCTGAAGCGAGGCATGCTGCTGCGCCTGGCCCGCCAGGACCCGCAGCTGCACCCCGATGATCCCGAGAGGAGGGCCACCATCTACAACAGGTACAAGGTGAGGTCACACTGCATCCCCCCAGCCCTCTGCAGCCCCCAAACCAGCCCCCATGGCCCCTGCTGCCCCATTGGCTGGCCCTCACTGCACTTTCCCCGCCCTACCACACAGGAGTTTGTGATCCCTGAAGCTGAGGCAGAATGGGTCGGCCTGACTCTGGATGAGGCTGTGGAGAAGCAGAGGCTCCTGGAAGAGAAGGTGTGGCCCAGAGGGGGAGCAGCACTGACTGGGACAGTGGACAGTGGGGGCCATTGGCTAGCTGCACAGTTGGGGAGCAGGGACCCTCAGGTGAAGGGTGTTTGCTCACCTCTCGCCTGCCCTCAGGGACCTTGCCTCTAACCCTAACTCACCAACCACGGCCCCTGGAACCAGGTTCTGCAGGCCCTGCCCCCCGTCTAGGAGTTCTGAGTACCAGAGTACCCCAGACTCGGGGCCAGGGGGGTGGGGGGGTGGGGGCTGCTCGGGCAGAGTACAGCCCCTGGCCCTAACTAGGCTCTCCCACCCTCGCAGGACCCCATCCCTCTGTTCAAGGTCTTCGTGGCTGAGCTGGTGCAGCAGCTTCAGCACCAGGCGCTGTCCGAGCCAGCAGTGCTGCAGACTGAGGCGGCCGGGAAATGACCGCATGCGGGGACTCCATGGACGGACAGACAGACAGACAGCCTGTGGCAGGGCCTCTATGGGCAGCAGGTGATACCAGGCCATGTACTGCTAGTTCTGGCTGCCTTGTGCCCCCTCAATATTGGAGGCCTGGCTGCGGGTCCACCGCCCCCAGAAACCTTTCTGTGCAGGTGGGGCAGGAATAAAGTCTGAGCCCAGCCCAAGTGTGATGCTGCCGCCGGGGGTGGGGCTGCGGGGGGAGGGTATATCGCAGCTGCTGCAGTGCAGACTGAGGGTGGAGAGGGGAGTTTGAGGAGTGGGCTGGGGAGCTAGCTGGGGCCTGTGTATGAGTTCACCCCCAGGCCAAAAAGTGGACCAGGGCCACATCTCTCTCTAGCCAGGGTCAGGCCCGATGGGGGCTTGGGGAGAGGATCCTAGGTAAGCCTCAGACTGCTAAGGCTCTTCCTGTCTGAGATTTCAGGGCTCCCAATCCTGACTTGGGAGTCCTGAGCATGGTCCATTCAGGCCATGGGAGAAGTGTACCTCAAAAGCTACACTGCCTCAGACCTCCTTTAGTGACCCCAGCCTCTGCTATATAGGGCTGATCTTGGGGTTGGGGTGGCACCTCTACTCTACCTTCAGGTCAGCTACTAACTTGTCTCTGAAAGGGTTGCCACTGCCCCTGACCCTCCGAACACCTGCTTCCCTGCTCCTGTGAAGGGCACATGAGGCTGTTCCGTGCAAGCATACATGGCCAGCCCAGCCCTACTCTGTCTCGGGGGCCTCACACCAATGTAGCCCCAGCTCCATCCAGAACAAGATTTCCTGGATGGGCCAGTCCTCCCAACCTCTGCACCTGTGGCGCGTGTTTTGGGGTGAGCTCTGACCTGCTTTCCTGCGTACCTGTGGCCATGTTCATGGTGTTCGGCCCCAGCCAAGCCATCCTCAGCCACCCGCACCCCGCCCTGTCAGACCCCAGGTGTCCCAAGGGGCCTTAGCACACCTGGGGCTGCTGGGCTGGCATTTCAGGCTCATTCCTCCTGGCGTTAATGCTCGGAGCTGTAATGCTACACCAAGGGCCTAGCAGGCTCATCTCAGGCCACAGGGTGGACTTCCGGAATGCTGACCTGGGGGACCAAGACTCACTCCCCTCCCCACCTTCAGCAGATTGTGTGCTGCACCTATGGGGCTTCCGAAAGCTGGTCTGAACACACAAGCGAAAGAGAGTGGGATTTTTCCGTGCACACTGACACACATTCAGATGTGCACGCACATGCGCTCAGGGACACACTTAGGCCCACAGAACCTGGAACCAGGCCAGGAGATGCTTCCCTTGCTATACTCCCCCCACCCATTTCTGCCCCCACCTTTCCTGCTGCCTCTCCAAGCGCCAGCAGCCCCTCGGGATGCCTGGACCGATCAAGGTCAGGTCTGAAGAAACCACAGCCATGTCTCCTCTCCACATCAGCTGTGGCCCTGTGGGCCCCAAATCCCTTCCTGCCCACTGTCCTCCCTGTGTCCCAACGGTCAGCCAGGCCATGGGTGTTTCCATGACAATAGATGGTATCAAAGTCATAGGGCCAGTGGGGGCTGTGCTGTGGATGATGGTGCCCGAGGCTGTCCCCTGCAGGCTGTCAGAGGCGCCAGGGCAGGCAGGGGCCCCTGGAGAGAGTGGGGCCCCCTAAATAATGCAACTAGTGACATGACAGGTTTCTATGGCCCTGCTGTGCCCACCCTCCCATCCTGATGTTCCAGAGCACTGGGGGGGGGGGGTCGGAGGACCCTCACCATCTCCCATCTTATAGGAAGGGTGTCAGACAGCCCCCAGCCCATCACAGGGTGGCCTACCAGAGTAGGAAGTGAGGATGGGGACAGGGCCATGCTGGGGACTCAGGGGGTCTGAGCCCACCCCAGGTCTCTGTCATCACCCCTGACTTGGCCCCTACCTACCCACTAGGTCCTGCTCAATTGGGCAGTGGTGGCAAGGTAATGGAAGGAGAAGTGGTGAGCTGGAGGGTACTGCTTGTCACCTGGGCAGCTTCACCCCTGCCTGGAGCTCTGCCCAGGAACTGAGAGCCCAGTAGCCCCATGCAGGTCTTGACCCTCATGCCCCCCAGGACACCTACCACCCTGCCCAGCCACCAAGATATCCCCAATGCCCACCTGACACCCACCACCCTGCCAGGTCACTGGAGTCTCCCCAACCCCCACCTGACCCTGCCATCCTGCCCAGCCACTTGATCTCCACCAACGCCCACCCACATCTAGACCTGGCAACTCCAGGGGGGGGCCTCGTCAGGTGGTGCCCCTGGGCCCAGACCCTTCTACTCTTCCCTCCAACACTGGCTGTCACCCTAAAATAAGCTGAGTCCGGAGTGCCTGCTGGTGAGCCACCTGGCACTGGCCTCCCACACCTCTCCCAACACCCTTGAATGGGGGGCTGGGCTCACAGTCTACAAGCCTTCATCAGCCAACCCCAGCCTGTCTCCACTCCACCCTACCCTGAATTCCAATGTGGTGGGGTGCTTGGAGGCGTGTGGGCTCACTTGTCTGTGCCCGGCGACTCCGAGCCAGCCCCGATCCCTCCTGAGACCACTCCCTGGGATGTGTCACCGCTTGGGCCTGCCTCTGCTCCCCCTGCCTAGGTCCTACCTCCCCTCCACAGCTCACACCTCACCTGGCAGCCAGGCATGCCACTCTGCTCACCTGTCTACCTGGCACGTGAGGCTGGGCCTGGCCCAGGAAGTAGGACCTGACCTCCACCGGGGCCTAGGCTAGGAAGGGCTGCCCCACAACACTGTCTAGGGACGAAGACGCGTGGCCTTGCTGAGACCCTGATCTCTGGTCTCTGCATGTGTCAGCGGCAGGACAGGAAGAAGCAGAGCCCGTCACAGGGTGCTGCTGTCACAGGGCCATGCTGGGGGTTCGGGGGCTCTGTAAGCATGTCCATTGTCAGGTGGTGGCTACTGGGGTCCCTGTGGGGGTCTGCCATGGGACTGGGGCTTGGCTCTGCCCACCTGTGGGGACAGGGCTCTCCAAGCCCTTCCTCCCACTGCCTTGCTCCGGTCTCAGCCTGGTCTTAGCCCCTGGGACAACCCTGACCTGAAGACCTCCTCAGCAGGGGCTGCAGAAGAGCCGGAGGTCCCTCTTCTGCCTCTGCCCTGAGGGTTCAGGCAGGGCATAGACTGGCCCCCAGGACACAGGGACCCCCACTTGGGTCAGGCACAGAAACGTGCACACACACACACCCTCCACAGCTGGTGTGGGGGCTACCGCCACTGGGCCACGCTTCCCATCCCTCTGAGGGGGGACCCTAGCCTGCACCCCCTGCGGTGCCGCCTGCCCCCCCGGCAGTCAGGAGTGGCTCAGGGGTGGTGGTGTCTAAAGGGGCTGGTTGCCATGGCTACCATAGGGTTCTGAGGCCCGTCATCTGGTCCCTGCCTCAGCCAATCGGCACAGGAGCCAGAGCTGCAGCCTGGAGTCACACTTCTTCCCGCAGCCACGCAGTGGCCACGAGCTGGCCCGCTTCCTGGAGTGGCAGTGAGCACTCAGCTGGCCCGGCCCGTCATGGCGGACAGGAGAAGGGACGGGCGAGAGAAGGAGCATGGAGCCAGGCAGGTGAGGTAAGCTTGGTGGCGGGGGGCAGGGAAGGAGGACGGACAGATAGGACAGGCAGGTGGACGGGCAAGCAGGTGGACGTGCCCCCACCACCCATTGTTCTGGCTGTGGCCCTGCCCTTGGCTCTCCTTCTTCACCCACCCAGCTTGCGCACGCACGCGTCTGCTTCTTCACTCGGGACCCTCGCCAGGAAGGGAAACAAAGATGGGGGGGCAGGCGGCAGCAGTATCCCACTGGGCCCTGGCCCCCGGTGGAGTGCGCACAGACCTTTCCTGTCGGATCTCACAAGGGGCCAGCATCAAAGACCCCTGGCCGGCCACCCACCTGCTTCTGTCCACTGCTCCCCGGTGAGATGGCCAGCCGCTGGAGAGTCAGTTTTGGGTCAAAAGAGCAGTACTGGTAAAAGACAAACAAACATTCCCCTCCCCATCACCACCTACCTGTGTCAGAGCAGCGGCCGAGTCGGCTCTCAAGACCCACAGCTGTCTTGCACCTTGGGGGGCAGCCCGCTCTGGTGGTGTGAGCACGCAGATCAAAGAGGGGGTACGCTTGTGTGTGTGTGTGTATGCGCTCGTGTGAGCGTGCGAGTATGTGCATGCGTGTGGGGGGTGGGGTGGGAAGGGAGCACGCTGTGGTTGGTTCCTGCCCACCGCAGCCACCCTCCATGTTGCTTGTGTTCTTGCTGATGCGTGCGACATGGGTGGACAGGCCTGGCAGGGCCATGCAGGGACGGCAAGGCCCAGGCTACGCCACCCACACCTGGCGTGTGTCCTGAGGGTTCGGCAAGGGCAGGCCTGACGCCCGGGCCTCCAGGTTCTGCCCAGTTCGCCTGCTTCCACAAGTCCTGCCTGGACTGGCCTGGGCCTGGGGACGACCGTAGCTGCCCCATGGTCTGCCAGCAGCAGTCCTGATGCCAGATGGCCCGGAGTTCAAAGCCTCGTGGATGGGTTGTGCGGTGGACTCCGGGCAGCAAAGCTTTTAATCCACTGTGGCTAATCCTGTGCACTTTGTTCATCACGACCGATCCCGCAGCGACAAAGGGGCCGGGACCCTGCAGACATAATCCCACGCTCAGGGCCCAGCCGGGGGCCACAGGCTCCGAGGCAGCCGAGAAAGAGAGAAAGAGAGAGAGAGAGAGAGAGAGAGAGATCAGGGTCCAGTCAGGGTGGGACCCCCCTCACCTCTACAGGTTGTTCCCTGCAGCCTGTTCTTGGGGTGTCCCTGGAAGCACCCTGGCTATGCAGACTTGGGGGCAGGGCAGAGCCAGGGAGTCTGAGGAAAGGACTAAGTGCTTCCTGTCCCCGTCTCCACCCGTAAAGAGGTCCGCAGGGCAGAGGCCACAAGCCAGGGAGGAGACAGCAGTGGGCAGCAGCATGGAGGCCTCTGGACCTGAGAGAAGGGAAGAAGCCTGAGGCTGGAGTGGGCGGGGCGGGGGTGTGCAGCGCATCAGCTGTGCCTCCTACCACTTTCCCTGCTAGGTGTCTAAGACCTCTCACCTGAGCCGTGGAAGGGACCCAGAGGTGGGCAGGGGCCACACTCCCCCTCAGGGGGCGGGGACGGTGAGTTTCACTAGGCCTCAAAGGTCAGCAGGCTGGGGTTGG